ACACTGCCCAGATAATTTAAGGAATGAGTAAGTTAAAAACAGATTGATCAAATAATACAAAAAGAATTATCTGATGAAGTTTAGTCTGATAATGGCATATCACAATGCAGGGGTGGGGGTTCTGTTAATATGGCCTGCTTCAAGAACTTGTGGGTTATAGTACATTCTTAAATGCTCAGGGGAGTTTCCATTGATCCTGGGTTGCCATGGGTGAACTGTGTGGCAGAATGATCTATTGGCGTGATACTATGACTTACAAATTTTTCGGTGTTTCTGGGCAATTTTGGATAATGACAGAGACAGAAGAGAACAAGCACATAATTTCCAGTGTGAAATCAACTGAACATAATCATGTTTTTCATTACAGTGAAGGTTTCAAAGAACTGAGTTTGCTGTTCTATTGTGTCCTCAAGTTATTGTCCAGTAGAGCTTTTAGAATAATCAAGGGCTTGCTGTCAGCTGATATTTGAAGAACTTCTAATATTATGTCTCTGCACATTATATAATATACTGTAGCTTCTTATCTGCACTATGTGACAGATTTATATTTTATTTTTTACACTTTTACATTAAAACACTTTTAATGCGTTTTATACAAATTATTTGAAAACTGACATACTTGGAAATATTTTATGGGAAATAGTGCATAATGTATATCTTTTAAGTAAATATGTAACTGATATTCTCAACTAAAGGGTATCATAATAACAAGCTTCAAGAAGAAGCACATGTACATACCTATAACATGGGAAAGACATGTAATCATAGAGGTAAGAAGACATGTTCATTAACCTGATGGACCTATTTCAGAGCTGTCATAATTCCTAAGTCAGAGTTAGGTGAGTTGGAACATGAGCTTAAATGCATTATTTGTACACACTTTTTAAAATGGGTCATTTCGGTGACCCAGTTTCACAAAAAGAAACTTCTATATATTTCAATTTTCCAATAACTAAATATCTCATGCTACTTTAATTTGTGAATTTTATATAAAGCTTTGAAAGGGAAGCTTTTAAAAACAAAACAAAAGATTTTTTTTTACTATGGAATGTTAGAGATTTGGAGAGAAAAATCTCCTGGTATAAAATCATTAAGTTTATCTTTCTTATGAATGGAATCCTGGGTAATGGCTTGGGAACAAGCGAAAAGTTTGTTTTCTTTCAGCTAACCTCACCTCAGAATTAACTAACCAAAGAAAGTATGTTATCTAGAAAGATGAAAAGGAAGACTAAAACCTAGTTAGAGAGGAAACGGGCTTATTTCTCTGTAGTTATAAGGAAAGAAAGCTATTGAAATAAACTATTGTGTCTACGGACCATATCTTGACACCCAACCATGATAAAATATTTTTTCAGCTCCAATATTTTCTTTTCTCACACTATATTTTTCTTTATTTATAACAAATGTGGGCAATTTTTGAATCTTCCACTTTTTATTTTAGGAATCCAACTCAAGAATTCTTTAATACTTTCCCAAGATAACCTACATTTATGATGATTGACAATTGCTAGAGAAAATATAGATTCTTAATGAAATTGCTTCCTTCTTCCCTGAACTTGATACAATTCTAAGCCACAAACTGCAATCAGTTCTTTCATTATTATCTAGAATTATTTCTGATTAAAAAGAAACCTGAAACAGCAGAAATAATTAACATGCCATGAAATGTTAACAGTGCAATAATAACAATAAAATAGTGAATTTTGGAGCACTTGTAAACTGATATGAGATGGTTTAATGTCATCCAATTAATTTTATATAAATACCTAGTTTAAAAATAATTTACACATTTTACAGTTCAATGGCATGGAAATGTCATTTGTTTTCTCCTGCAATGTTATGAGATGAAGCTTAAGATATTGCTAATGTTACATAAGTAAGATGCTGAAGTGAATGAAATAATATTTTTCACTCATGCTAGTAAAGAATCTCTGTGAAGAATAGATGAATGAACACTAGAAGTTTCTATGAACAGAGATGTTGGATAAAACACCACTTTATTGGTATTGAGGAAAGCTTAAAGTTTCTTGTGAAAGCACAAGAAATAAAGGAATCCTTTTAACAATAACTATATTGTAGCAACTTTCCACAATGGTTGTTGGTTGTTTAAATTTTGATGTACTTTGATATTTTCCTCATAGATTGACATGATCCCAACATATATAAGTTACTTGTAGTTTATTAAATAAGCAGGAAATATGAATGAGGTGCTGTCTGTTTTGACAGTTTTGGCAAACCAACATTTCATTGCCTTGATTTCTTGCAGCAGCCTGTCATAGAGATATATTACTTGTTGAAAACTCATAAAATTCCTGAGCGTTAAGCAAGAATATATAATGAATTTATGCACGCCAGATCTTTTTGATTAGTTACAGAAATACTCTCTTACAGCAGGATTGGGTGCTTTCATATTAAGAGTGTTTTAGCAAGAGCAGCAATGACAGCAAAAAGAAAAATAAAACCAGCACAAATACTTTTATTTATCAATAATCCTAAAAGTTTGGACAGAAACTTTTGAAGGAAAGAATGAGGGAAGATGTAAGATCATTATAGCAAATGGTTTTATTTTATTGACGTATGGGACTTGTTACCACAATGTTGTAATTACTATAAAAGCAGAATTGTAAACACAGCCACCTAGAAAAGTTCAGATCTTCTGTTTTAGTTATTTTGTAAATTATCTCACAATCTAATGGCATCCTAGTCCATAATTCTTGAAAAACAGAAATGCACACATTATTACCTTGAAGCTATCTTCACTTTTCTCCCTCATTTTATTTTGAGTTTCAAGTCTAGACTGTTTTTTATCACTTTCTTTTTCCAGCACTGTTGTTTGAGATGTTGTATTATAATTATTGTAGCCTTTATGTTTGTATACATCAATTTCCCAAATAACAGATACAGTATATTTGGGTTAGCTAATTATAATAACAGAAAACATTATATTTATAGTAACAACACTATCTTCTAAAGTCAGGGTAGGTTGACTCCCTTTGCTTTCATCTGACTAAACTAGTCTTTAATCACTTCTTTAGACATAAAATTAGCCAGAAATATAAAACTAGTGTTTTCCAGGAGACCCGTTAGGAAGTCCATTTCATCTCACGGCATCTTTGTGTCTATTAGTTTTTGTGATCATAAAATGTGCTATGATTAATTTATAGGTTACCATTACAATTATTGAATTTATAGAATAGAATGTGAAAATAAAACTAACTTTAAAACATGTCTTTAAAATATCAGATGAAGTGATAAAGAAAAACAATCGACAGAACAGCATGTAGGGAGGAAGTTTTTCACAGAGTCTTCTCATGAGCTTTCTCTCATGTTGTCTTTATTGTTATAGAAATGTCAGAGAAAATATAACCGTCAGATCTAGGTCACAGCACATGCTGGGAATGAAGAAGGGAAGAATTAATCCAAATAGCAGGTCAGGGATTTCTGCAAATCATTACATGTAGAACTAGTGGATCTCATATTGACCACATATAACTTGCAATTTTTTTAGAAATGAAGGAAAGATTGATCAGCTTTAAAAAGAATTTTAAAGACATGCATATTGTACAAAAATTATTTGCCCTTTGTCTTACATCTTCTGTCATCCAGTTACTTCCTGAATTGCTAATCCTAACTGGATGACAGTAAATTATTGTCCATTGTAGAGATTGTGACATAAACAAGGTCACTGTAAAATTCAGTATATATCAATGGATGTATTCATGGAAGAACGAGTACAATACCCAGCTAAGAAATTAATTGGACCACTGGGAAAAGCTATCTTGTTAAGTGTCTGCCCTAGATGTTTCTTTACTGCATATAGATTTTCCTTCCTCCTGAATGTATTAGTTTTAGTTACATTTCCTATAAAGGTCTCTTATGTTAATAATGTGTTCTGTCCATATAATCTACATTGTAGAGCAAAGATTTTGTCCTGGGATGTGCATCACTGGTATACAGTAAATGGCTCCATTTACAAAACATAGAGGTATTAATTCATATAGCTACTTGTAGTATGTTGAAAAAAAGAAAACAGCTGCTATTGCCATTATCTTGAAACAATGACTACATCTGAACACAAAACAAAACAAAGCAAAATAGAAAAGAACTTCTAATTTTATCTTGTCATTAGCTCCTTAATCCTTTTAAAACTGAAAGTGACACCTAATGGGTTTTTAGTGAAGATGCCTGGGGAGTCTGGGATGTAATCCAATGCATCTGGAAAGTTCCAGTTTGGACAATATTAATCCAGGTCTTTAGTTATTCGGGTTTTCTCCCACGTAGAATTATGTATATGAAATCCCATGCACCGCCTGCCCCACCACATACATCGGACAAACCAACAGAAGAATAAATGCACGCATTGAAGAACACAAGAACTCAGTCAGAAAAGAGGAACCAACTTCTTCCCTGGTCCAACACCTTAAAGCCACAGGACATAAAATTGACTNCAAACCCACACAGATGATGAGGCACGACCACAAACTAGAAGCCAGTCCACAGCTGCATCATTAGCCACTTTAAACCCCTCCAATCCATACATGAAGCAAACTGACACCCACCATAAAGATGTGGCACGACCACGAACACGAAGCCAAACAACAGCAATGAAGCTCACCAGCTCAAATCCCCCTGCAACTCAAACTAACCCGAGCACAACAAAGCCCCCACCCAAACAGAACACTTCCCCATCCAATCAGAGAACAGCCAACCCCCCATCCAATCAGAGCACAGCCAAGCTCCTTAACCAATCAGAACACACCTCCACCCAATCAGAACACAGCCAAGCTCCCACCCAATCAGCTCAAACCCCACTGGCAGTTAAAAGGAAGAAACAACTGCGATCTCACACACTACTCCCAGAAGCACGAAGTTGAAGACACCAGCCTGAAGATGACGAATGTGACTTCGTCGAAACGTCGCCAAGACACTTCTAATTCTACGCGGGAGAAAACCCAAATAACTAAAGACCTACATATATATATATATCTAAGACAGCTGACCTTATGGGCCACCGGATGGTTGCTTCTATAATGAAGCACCCTATCCGTGCAGGTTGGTTTTCGGTATACCCTGGTGCTAAGGGTTCCATCCAGCTGACGGGTGACCAACACGTCTAAAAACGCTAGAGAGCCCTGATTTTCTTCCTCGATCGTTAATTGGATATCCGGGTATACTGAATTCAATATGCCCATAAAGTCAGCCTTTCGATCCCTCTTGATGATGGTGAATGTGTCATCCACATAGCGGGCCCAAAACTTAGGTCGATGTTGGGCCATCGCTATGTGCTCCACCCCATCAGGAGGAGGAGGGAGCCACTACTACCCCCCCAACCCGGCAGGAGACGACGACCCATCTGCCGTATGGACGTCAGACTCCAGCACGAACATATTGGGGAGGAGAACGGAGCAAGCTGAGCGATCCATGTGATGCTAGGCAGACAGAAGACACCAAACGAGGGAGAAAGGGGAGGACTACTATTGCAATCCCCGGCCTCAGATCTCAGACTCCAACAAGAATGCATTGGGGAGGGGAACGGAGCAAGCCGAACGGTCTGTGTGACGGCAGGCAGACGGAAGACACCAGCAGAGGAAGAAAGGGGAGGATCGCGACTGCAACCCCCAACCTCCGTGTCTGCGATGACAACTACATCGGACCCGAATTACAGGGGGGGAGAAAGAAAGGGAAAAGCTGCACCATCGAGAAAGAGACGGGGAAAGTGAATGAGGGGGGTGCTGAGAGACAGATGACTGACTGGGAAAGGGAAAGGGAAAAGATCGCAACCCCTGATCATTGCATTTGCAATGATAATTACATCGGAACAAAAAAGGGGGGAGATAAGAAAGTAGGAGGCTGTGCCATTAAAAAGGAGACGGGGAAGAAGAGGGGGGGAGATGTTAGAAAGCGAGTTGGCGCGACGTGTACTCGGCTATGGACAAAGAGGTGTGGAGCGGCATTGGAAAGGACTCAGGGGAAAGAGTGTAAAAGAGATATGGAAAGGAAAATAGAAGATGGATATGAGTGTGTGAAAGGAGATCCCCCACTGACATCTAGTTCTAGAAAAGAGAAATTCCCTGATGATAGCTGTGTGGATGAGAGGTGCGGGAGGGAGGAAGCTGTTACCAAGGAACCGGCGTCAGGAACGTGCTTAGTCATGACCGGCCCAGTAACGAGATCGAGGAGCCGCGCGCACACGCTAGTCAAACTATAAAAGTGAATCTCCCATGGANTGACATTTTGAGCCCTGAGGACGTCGGCAGATGGCCGACGAAAGCTAGGCGTTTTAATTGGTGTTTTAATTAGTAGTTTTAATATTAAATTATATTTTACTATATTCCCTGGTGCTCGTGTTTGCTCACTGATCTTAATATGGAATTATTAACAAATCTATCAGCATTATTCGCAAATCATGTTGCAAGGTTTTTTTTACATATATTTAAGTAATAATATATTATTTTTCATCTCTCCATTTCTATCTCTATCTGTTATGTATATTGCAGAATGATGTCCCAGATGTTCATTACTGGGCTTTGATCCATGAAAATTTAGTATGTACAGTATGTACAAATACACATTGTACCTCTAATCTGTGAAGTAGGAGAAGCTATAGGATATCCTTTGGGATTTTTATTTTCAGAGACAGAAATGCTGTATTCACCTGTAATTATTAATTGATTGAAAGTTTCTAATGGGGATTCAGGTTGTTACATTTTTGGAGGAAAGATAGATGTCTTTTTTAAAATAAATACAGCTAGACAAAAAAAAAAGTCCAGTTTCTCACAGAATATATTTATGAGGTTGTATGAATGGCCTTTGAAGCAGTTATGGGTACATATGTCACCCTTTTTTCTGGGATTGACTATAGCTGGAGAGGATATTGAATGATTGTAGGAAATACATAGCTTCTTCAAGTAGTTACAAACAGGAACTACTTCTCCACTCAAATTAGGAGCTCAGTTCTTCAGTTTCCTGATAAGATAGGTAGTTTGATTTCCTGAAAAGGTCAGTGCCTCAGGATCTCGATAATTCATATTTTGGGGCAGTGGAACAATTTCACACAGAAAATATTAGGGCTGTAACATTGTTAATTTTAAAATGTGGGTATTATTCTAGACTAGAGAATGAAAAGGACAGTCAGGATTTTTCAGATTCTCAACACAGGTACAATGTACAATATAGCTTGTTTCTCTTTGTTGTTTTCAGTCATTGATTAGACTTTTCCTGCCTTTGCTATTTTCAATATTTCAGATATTTCTGAAGGGGAACTTTCTTTGGAAGTTCCCCAACCCAAAAATTATTAACTGTGCATAAGGCAATCCATTTCATCTTTCCATCCAAAGGAAGGGTCTCTGATACCATAAACTTGGATCATTCCCTTTATAATTTTGTGAAGCTGTGAGAATGGACTATTGAGTTCATTGACATGCTTGACATGCTATCTGAACATTATAATAAGCAGAAAATCAGATCAGATATACAGTAAATAGCTGCAGAAAACTTTTGTGCATGTTTCCCAAAGGTCTGTGGGCAAACAAGACAGTTTATTGAATATTGATGAATACTATCTATAGAAAAAAACTATTTTTATTAGAAGTGAAACAGCTGGAATAATCAATAGAAACTTAATGAAGATATATTGACATTGGTTAATTTTCTTGTTAGATATATATTAGCCTTAATCTTGAAAGCTTTTCATGGTCTGCGACAATTAAGATTATGTTCCCAACAATGACATTTGAGACAAACTTCCCCAAAATTAGCTAAATATTTATTAAGAACTCAAAAAGAAAGGAACCTATCATAGATTTAAGATTCATATACCATATTAAACTACTCAAGAAGGACATTGATAGATAGAAGGAAAACAATTTTGAAATTTAAATGTAATTAAGGATCATTCTAAGGAAATGGCTTTTTCATATTCCAGTCTCAGTCTTTTTGAATAATTATTTGAAAACTACCAATAATTCTACATTCTAAATTATCCAATACGGTAAATTTAACTTGAATGGAGAATACTGAAATTCTAAAGGGTATATATCTTCTTTAAAGAAAGTAATAATAATAACAACAGAATAACAGATTTGGAAGGGGGCAGTTAAGTTGCAGGACCTAACACTGTATTAAAGCATTAGTTTATCTAGATCAGTGCTGATAAAATGAGTCAGCAATCACTGTCCATGATTTAATATAATGATTTTTCACACAAAAGAAATTACACTGGGTTCTTCCCAAAATATAGAGTGAAGGGTGAAGGACTTAATGATATTATGACTGACTGAACTGACTGATACAAATATATTTTTATGATTTTTTCTTATTCTTTCCATAATCACAATCCCATCCTATTACAGAACTTTTCTTTTATGATTACATCATTTGTATTATCAGGATTTCAGGAGGAATAAATACACTGTCCTAACTTCTTGTTCCCTTTCATTTTCAGGAAAATGCTAAATCACAGAGCCTGTGAACTTGACCAGCATTCGTCCATTAATAGCTGAATTGCAAAAGCCTGAAAGCAGGCATTCTCCATATTCTCCCCTTTTTCTTGCAACCCAAGGATAAGACCTAATGTCATCATAAATTTTTGGTGTGCTTGGTAACAGGTTTGTCAGATTCAGTGATCATTTTTTCTCTATATGTAAGAATAATATAGTACTTTTGAAGCCTTTTGACAGGAAAGTATTTGGCATGCAGCCAAGCAATAAACTATTATTTACTTCTAAAGGTTAGTTTCTAAATAAATAGGAACATGCAAGTCAGTGGCTTGATCATTTATTTTACTTTGCTTCTGATTATGTGTGCTTTATCAAGCACCTCATTTCTCAAAGCTAATAAATCTTTTTGCTTATATTACAGTGAAAATGTTTTCTGATACATGTTTTGTTACCTTCTAGAAAAGAGATACAATGTCTGAGCACAGCTCCTTCTCTGTTTCCTCTGATTTTTTTTAAACATTTATTATAAGAATACATACTGCAAAGTGAAACTCCTAACATCATCCTTCCATCAACAGCCAGACAATAGTAAAGTATATTATGGTAGATGCATCTCAATGTTTATGTCAACTCTACAAATGAGCATGGCTGCAGCCATTTTTTCTACCCATTTTCGGTTGAGTAGGAAAAATGGCTGCAGCCTCAGAGTTCTGCTTTATTCATTTCTGTCTGTCGGAACCATGACAGCTTGTTTGGAAGTACAGATTCCAATACCCCATGGAAACAACGTATCTCCATCTTCTAAACTGGCCATTGGAAATAACTATGGATGCCTAGATGTTTCCATCACAACTCTCATCACATCTCCCATAGCCTGACCTTTGTTAGAAGCTAATGAGAGCTGGAGACTTCCGGTTCTGGACGCGATGCCTTCGGACACATGGGGGAGGCTTCTTCCTGCCATCTGTTTTCCCTTCGTCGGAAGACCCTGGAAAGGGTTGAAAGTCGCCCTGGAGGGGCGACCACCATTGCGGAGGATCCTTGCAAGATCGCAGAAGGGCAGCAGCCCTTCCGTTTGATCTGAGGCAGCTCCCTAGGACTGACGAAGAAAAGATTGGCCATTAACATGGCCAATCACTTAGTTGCACCATCCGAAAGTCCCAATAACAGCTAAGCATATGAAGCAGGAGTGGAAGATTTGGGTGAGATCCTTTTTTACCTCTCTTTTTCCCTAATTACCTTCTGTGAAAGCTTTTGGAAATTCGTTTCCCTGCTCTCAATTCAGCGGCGTTTGCATACGTGGGATTTTACAGCTTGGAAAGAAAAGGAAAGAACTACTAACTTCAACAACCAAATAATTGGATCTTTGTTTTTTGGATACCTTGGGGGCCCAAAACTTTTTATTATAGAGACTTAGCATCTTTTAAACTTTTTTAACTATTAATTTTGCAAAATATCTGCTTTTTTGTGTGTTTTAACTGAATAAGAGGCTATTCGGCATTTGGGGAAAGATTTTGTGGTCTGCTGGGGACATCTTGTGGCAAAATTTGGCATAGCAACTGGATTTTTTTTTCAACTGTGCTTGTTAACTACTTTGATTTGTCCTTCATACTATCAAAAAAGATAAGACATAGAAGCAGCTGGGTGGTGACAATAATTCTTACAAATTGTGGAGGTGGACAATGGCTGAGTCTTACTAAACATAGCCTCCACTAAAGGACTATCTTTAATCACCATGGAAATGGATGAACCCTATCCACAACTTAGATAGCTAATCATTTCAAAAGTGTAAGCCAAAGATATTTTGTTCTGTCCCAGCCTACGTCCATCCTTGTTAC